TCTAGAGTGTTTCTAGAAAACCTCTAGAATTTGGACCTAATTTTGGGTTTGGTCAAACTTAGAATAATTCCATCATAAACCCAAAATTAAGCTTGATCCAAAATCAAGTTTAATTTCAATACTCCCCCTTAAACTTGATTTTGTCAACCATCCCGAGCTTCGAGCGAAGTAACTCAAATTGGCCCTTTGGTAGTGACTTGGTGAAGATATCTGCAACGTTGTCTTCGCTTCGAACCTCCAAAGCTTCAATTGTTCCATCAAGCACCTTCTCCCGTATGAAATGATGTTCTAACTCGATATGCTTCGTCCTTGCATGAAACACCGGATTATTAGCCAACTTGATAGCACTTTGATTATCTCCATAAATTGCAACCGGCTTATTGATTGGCTCCAACAAATCTTCAAGGAGTCTTCGAAGCCATATACACTCTTGAGCTGCGAGTGTTGAAGCTTTATATTCCGCTTCAGTGGTAGACAATGACAATGTTGCTTGCTTCTTGCTGCATCACGAAACACTTGTGTCTCCACATAAGAACACATACCCTGAAGTTGATTTTCGATCATCTAGATCTCCACCAAAGTCAGCATCCGTGAAACCATGAAGAGAAACCTTGGCATTGTACTTGTACATCAGACCCATGCCAAGAGTTGTCTTTACATACTTCAAAATCTTCTTTGCCGCTTCTAGATGTGGCTTCCTTGGTTCTTGCATAAACCGACTTACGAGACCCACCGCGAAGGCAAGGTCAGGTCTTGTAATGGTTAAGTATAGAAGACTTCCTACAAGAGAGCGATAAGGTCGAGGATCAGGTAGCAAGGACCCTTCATCGCGTTTAAGCTTTATGTTCACGTCTATCGGAGTAGTACGAGTCTTCCCTTCGTGTACTCCGAACCTTTCAACAATTCTTCTTGCGTAGCTTTGTTGGCTGACAAATATTCCATCCTTTACCCTTTCGACCTCCAAACCAAGAAAATTGTTCAACTCACCCAACTTCTTCATATCAAACCTCACCGACATATCCTCTTGTAGACGAGCAATTTCAGCATCATCATTCCCGGTGATGATCATATCATCCACATAAAGAATAACCACCATGTGGACTCCTCCATTCTTCTTTAAGAATAGACTCGGATCAGAATTTGATGGCACATACCCGCAAAACTGAAGGAATTGAGCAAGCTTTTCATACCAAGCTCGAGGAGCTTGTTTTAACCCATACAAAGCCTTTTTAAGCTTGCAGACATAATCAGGATGCTCTCGTGACTTGAAACCAAGCAGTTGCTCCATGAAGATTTCCTTATCAAGCTCTCCGTATAGAAAAGCATTCTTCACATCTAGTTGCCATAACTTCCAACCAAAGCTTGCGGCTAAAGATAAAAGTGAGCGTACCGTAGTCATCTTTGCCACTGGACTGAAAGTTTCATCATAATCTTCTCCATATTTTTGAGAGAACCCTCGAGCCACCAACCTTGCCTTAAATCTGTCAATGCTCCCATCCGTTTTTCGCTTAATTCGGTACACCCATTTACAAGAAATGGGTTGGACATCCTTGGGTTTTGGAACTAAATCCCAAGTTTCGTTCTTCATGAGAGCATTCATCTCCTCCTTCATTGCGCCCTCCCACTCTTGAACTCATTTTGCTTCATCATACGATTATGGATCCTCTTCATCTAATGGAACTGCAAAGTAGCATGAGTAAGTAGTGACAAACCTTTCATCTCTGAACCGAGCAGGCTTAACAATGCTCCTTTTTGGCTGTTGATTAGCCATGGAACTACGATCTTCTTCCTCATCTTCCTCTTGATCAGTGCTCCCCCTTTCACCTTGCGTCTCTTCTTCAAGACTTCCGCTTTCACTTGGCATTTGAACAACTGGTTCATCGATCTTGGAGGAACCCCCACCTTCTTGTTCGACCAAGACTTGAGGTGGCCCATAAAATGAGGAAACTTCATCAAAGACAACATCACGAGACACGGTGTACTTGTGTGTCTCTGGATCCATACACCTCCAGCCCTTCCTTTGTTCATCATAGCCGACAAAGATGCATTTCTTCGCCTTTGCCTCCAACTTGGTTCTTTGAGAATCAAACACGTGGACGTAGCAGATTGATCCAAATATCCTGAGATGTTTCATCGTTGGCTTCTTCCCATAAACCATCTCATAAGGAGACTTCATATTGTTTGGACTAAGTGGCATCCGGTTGATGACATACGTTGCACATCTCATGCCTTCCGCCCATAAGGCCTTAGGCAAATTTTTGTCATGTAACCAGCTTCTACATGTCTCGCTTAGATGTCTTATCTTCCTTTCCACTACTCCATTTTGCTGAGGTGTATACAGACATGTAAATTCTCTCTTGATACCATGTTTTTGGCAAAAAGAGATAAACTCCTTTGACATGAACTCCCCTCCATTATCCGTCCTTAAAGTCTTGATCTTCTGACCAAATTCTCCCTCCACGGTAACCTTGAATTCTTTAAACTTGGAGAATACTTCTGATTTTTCCTTCACAAAGTATACCCAAGTGTACCGTGAGAAGTCATCAACAAACAGTAACATGTACCGAAACCCAGAATAGGAGGATGTTCTCGTCGGACCCATCAAATCACTATGGACCCTCTCTAACGGAGAGCTGCATCGTGAAGTGGAGTTGTCAAATGGAAGTCTATGTGACTTTCCATATTGATAGCCTTGACAAAGCTTTCCTTCATCATGAATCTTCAACTTTGGGAGCCCGTTAACCAAATCCTTATTCACCATAACCTTTAGCTTAGTCATATTTATATGACCAAGCCTAGCATGCCATATAAAGGCATTATCATTCGTACTCATCTTCTCAACATAAGAATTTGAGGCCGATAAAACATATAAATCCTTAACCCGTGCTCCGGTGTGAACCACGTCCGCTTTTAATTCTTTAATATTCTTTAAGAATTTAACGTCTCTTGGGCCAAATAAAACGTAGTTACCTGAGTCAACCGCATTCACCACAGAGAGAAGATTCTTCCTTACTCCAGGAACATGATATACGTTCTTGAGAGTGATTGGGCTTCCATCATCTCCTTCAATAACGACTGTCCCTTCCTTCTCAACGCGGTGGATTGAATTATCCGCAGTAATGATGGCTTCTTTCCCGTCATGACGCTGAAGACTAGAAAATAACTTCTCATCTCCGGTAATATGATGGCTACAACCAGAATCCACAATCCAATCATTTCTAAGATTTTTAGCTGTGGATGTACCTGAAGATGCAGCCTCCACCGTGAAACATTTTCCCCATTCTTCGTCTTCAGTATGACCCTTTGATTCCGCCATATTTGATTCCTTCAGCTTGACTCGACAATCCTTTTTGAAATGCCCAAGTTTTCCACACCGATAACACTTGAATCGCTTCTTGTCTCACGTAGAAGATCCTTCTCGTCCATCATTATTCTTCACATTAGCATATTTGGGTTTGGCTCTGAAGCTTTGTTGTCTCCCCACTACAAAAGCACTCCCCGAGTCATTATGGACTTTAACTCCCGCCATTTGCATGGCTAGTGATTCTTGCGAAGCTAGTAGATTTTCAAACTCCTCCAAGAAAGGTTGTGTAGCCCATCCTTGAACTGAAGTAACAAACGGTGTATATTCGGGTCGTAGACCACGAATAATAGACCGCTTCAACCGTGCTTCCGAAATCGACTCCTCCGGATTGAGAGTATTAATCTCAGAGCAAATATTTTTTACCTTGATAAAAAACTCTGAGATTGAAGACTCCCCCTGCTTCGCATTCGCCAACTCGTTCTCTAACAGTTGTAGACGAGCCTCGTTCTTCTTGTTGAACAATTGATCTAGTGCCTGCCAAATAGCACTTGCGGATGTACATCTTGAGACATGCTCAAATAGTCCTGAAGATATTGACCTCTTCAAAGCAAACTCCGCCTTGGCATTCTTCCGTGTCCACTCCTTTGTCACTTCCACTGTTGCAGCATCTCCCCTTGGTGGTGTTGTGCTGCTACCGCCGATGACATCCCATAAGTCCTCACTAACCAAGTATGACTCCATACATGACTTCCATAACCGGTAGTTAGATTGGTTTAAGATCTCCATTCCCAATCCAACGACACGACCCATTGATTCCATACTTAGAGTAAACCCGAGCTCTCTTTAAACCCCGATCTTGAAGAGCACAAGATTAGAATGACTCTGATACCATGTAAATTTAACACCGATAGTGCTTAGCACTAGCCCAAGACCGTAATACCCAAGAAACCCGAAAGAAACCAAGAGAATAAACCTCTAAGTATGAAGAAGAATATGAAGAACACTTAGAGAACACTTGAAAGACTTTTAGAGAAATGTAGAGAACTTATGAAGAGGAAGACTCTTTATTTGAACTTGTTTTATTCACTTGTTCAACTTTTTCTTCTTGCTTACAAATGAGAGAGGCGAGGAGGTATTTATAGCCTCCCAAAGACATGTTACAAAGGATCTAGATTCTTCTAATATCACCTCCATAGTTCCTAGATATTTTTCTAATCTCTAGAAATTTCTACATAATATCTAAATATTTTTATCACAAATTATCTAGATGTTTCTATACTATTATCTAGATATTTAGCTTAAAGATTTCTCTAGAACACTTTAAGGAGGTAATCAACCTTCTAGAGTGTATCTAGAAAACCTCTAGAATTTGAACCTAATTTTGGGTTTGGTCAAACTTAGAATAATTCCATCATAAACCCAAAATTAAGCTTGATCCAAAATCAAGTTTAATTTCAATAAATGATATCTTCTCAATAAAATCTGATGTATTTAGCTTTGGGGTCTTGGTATTAGAAATTATAAGTGGCAAAAGAAACAAAGGAGTCTATTTCTCTCGGTCTGAGGAGCATCTTTTAGGTGAATTGAAGTAAGTGCCATAGACTAAATACAACCTTCTACTTCTTTTATGATGCACTATGTACATCCATATATTTATTGTTAACACACAAACTGTATTTGATTTTAATTATCTCAGGCTTGGAATTTTTGGAAGAAAGGTGAAGGCTTGCAAGTAGTTGATGCATCCTTGGATTGCTCAATTGGTACCGCTGATGTTTTAAGATGTATGAAAGTTGGATTGCTATGCGTTCAGGAGAGCCCTGAGGACAGACCAACAATGTCGTCTGTTGTTTTGATGTTAGGTGGTGAGCGACCACGCTTTGCTGCCTGAGCCTAAACAACCAGGTTTTGTGGCAAGAAAGCATTTTTTGACTAATCATTCATTGTCAAAGATGGATATATTACACAGTGAATGGCGTAACAATTACGATGCTTGTAGCCAGGTAATAAGCACTTATATCAGTTCTACCTCAATAATAGTGTGGTTAAATTCTTATGGGTATGGACCATTCATATTCATAAGGTGAAAAGGTACTGGTCAGTTTGTCTCCGACTAATTAATCTGGCCTATTATCCAACTTGTTTGAATTGGAGTACTAGACCACAGAATATTTTGATTGTAAATAATAGGTATTGGTGATGTATATGAGATGTAAACTTTGAGATTTAATCCTTCTTTTCCCCAAGTGTGATGAACCAGTCCTTTCCTTGATAAACATTGCTTTTTCATCAGAGCATGAGAAAACTAATCACTTTGAGGATGCCGTTCTTTGCCTCTTCTTTTTTTGAGGGACACTATCACTCCATCTTTAATGTATTCCACCAATGAGATGCTAGTTCCTGTTAATGAAACCTTTGCTTTGGGCTTCTTCATTAAATGATGCGTGTGATGCGGATGTGGGTCCTATAAGTTGGTGATGCAGTCCTGTTAGGGCTGCCGCCAGATTGGATGTAAGAGATGCATAAAGAAAAACAAAGAACACAAATATAACAGGCGCAACCGAAAATTAGGTTGTCAAGCAAAAGCTAATAAGGTGTCGTCGGTCTCATTCAATACTGCTGAAAAAGAGAAAGAGATGATACCAGTTCATCTACCCTTCCAGTATCGACTTCATCAGAAGAATGTACTAACCACTATTGTTGAGTGTAAAAATATAATCCTCCACTCTCACCATAACTTTGAAGCTTTCGTGTAATGATTAAAGGGACTTAATTTAAGATGATATCGGACGAGCCCAGGTTCGAATCCCATTGTGGCCATAAATGTAATGCGGATTTTACAAAAATTAGCACCGTTACGTGAGTCTAGGTTTCAGCCGATTAAAAGGACTTTGAAGTTTTTGGTGTACTGATTAAAGAGATTAAATTGAGAACTATTAGAGGATCTACATCTTTTTCTAGCAGTTATCTTTACCACACATTTAAAATCCTTACTATGTAATCCCATCATAATCAAGTGTCACAATATATAGATTTATCTTTACCACACATTTAAAATCCTTACTATGTAATCCCATCATAATCAAGTGTCACAATATATAGATGGCAACTCGAATTACAGATATTAGGCATAGACGCATCGGACAGAGGATCTGGTTAACTAGAAGCCGTATTAAGAAATCTATCATAAGATTCTCCCTAGAGTTAATTGGCACAAACTTGTTCGGGGTTGTCTTAACATACCCAAAAACTCATGCATACTTTGGCTGATGGTTCAAAATAGCCTTTTGACTCAATATCATTTGTGTCGAATGGGTATTGCAGATCAGAAGCACCCTACATTTCAACTCTCTCCATGAGATTTAGCAACGAGTCGTATAATTAGAAGACCCTTCATGATTGCGTGCCTTTTTTTTTGGTTTGTTTTAATGGTGTAAGATTGATGTAAAATGAAAAACACAATCCCTTCAAACCTTTGGCTCATTTGTCACATGGAACTGGAACAGAGCCCATTAGGTTGCTCTACACAGGATGATCTCCTTTGAGCAGAACCTTCTGAAGGTTGATTCATCAATGTGTTTATATTTTGATAGGCCTAGAGCTCACCAGTGCTATTTCAAGATATCGTCCAGCAAATTCTGCCAGTTAGTATTTCTAACAAGCTAAAATGAGGAATACGAGTTATGAATAGTGTGATAGATTGGTGAAAGGTGATATGTTCTATGTTGATGCTAACTCTAGGATTTCTAGGATTTGTTATGGTAATTTTGATTAGTCACATCTGTTGGCCTTCTTGTTTTGATGATGTTTAACAAACAATTTACGACTAATATTGTTTTTTGTGTTTATCTATTTATTGTAGACAAACAATATGTTGGAGGATGGATGTAATTGCGCTTCAACGATCATATCTATTTGTTATGGTAATTTTGATTACTGATTAGTCACATCGTACATGAGCAAAGAACCTACCGATGTTCACATCACTTGTCAATGTGCGATGGCTATGAAAGAAACATATAAATTTCTTTCATTATTTTTGACGTGTTCACATCACTTGTCAATGTGCGATGGCTATGAAAGAAACATATAAATTTCTTTCATTATTTTTGACGCCAGAATTTTAAATCTCCTCCTTATATGGCTATGAAAGAAACATATAAATTTCTTTCATTATTTTTGACGCCAGAATTTTAAATCTCCTCCTTATCTGCTGTTAGTTGGATAATCACCTAATAGAATTATTATCCTTTTGAGTTAGAAGTATTCTGCTAAGGTCTTCGCCTGTTTACCTCTGAAGAGAAACAAAAACTTGTATAGGATTTAATAAGAAACGCGGATTCAGTAGGAGGAACATCTTGGCAATTTCAAGTAAGCGATCTTGTATTTCTTTGATATAGTCTGAATATTATCATAGCCAGCATAGTTGTTTTCTCAGTGGCCAATTCCACGTCCGAACTTTAAACTATACAAATTGAATATGTTAAATTTGAGGGAAAATTGTGTCGAGGCCCCAAAAGCAGAAACTTCATGTGATGAGGCTCCTTGTATTTTGCCCCATGTGGATAAGCCCCCAAAAGTACCGTTTAATATTTCAAGGCCCCTCTACGTCAGCGGTATACAAAATAGCGATTGTATTTTGAAAAAAACCCAAAATTGCCCTTCTCCTTCTTTCCCAGATGCTTAGATAGTCAAGTCCAATTAAATGTGAACTGATGTAAGAAATAGAGGGAAATTTTCCCCCCATTTTTTCCCTCTATCATTTGCATTAACTATGTTAGTTCTCCATTACTCTCCTCAATCCCTCAAACTCAGTGCTCCCACCTCCTCTCTCCTCTCTCTCATCTCCTCTCTCATCGTCGTTGCCGCGTCCCCCTCCTCTACTCTGCCCGACCTTGTCCCAGACTCGTCCTCCCCCTGCGACATCCAACGTGTCGCCGCCCTCACCACGGAGGCCTTCCGCCCCAGCAATGTGGACACGGCCAATGCTGGGGCAGTCGATGTCGATGCCGCCGATGCCGAACTCGTCTTGTGTGGGTTTTCAATTTTTTAACAATTCCATCTAAAAAAATCTCTCAATTGCTCTTTTACTTCGTGTCCTTGTTTATTTAAGCTGTGTCTTGTAATTTTCTATTTAAAAGTCTCATGTTGAGCATATTCTGCTCATATCTTTTGTAATATTTTTTCCTCACATGCTATATTCTATCAGAAAAGTCTCTCCTTTGTTTGGGATTTTAGACATTTGCAGGCTGATGACTGTATTAATTTGGTTGGTATTATGTTGTTGTATTTGTTACTTTGGTGGAAGTTTGTATTGGTTTGTTGATTTATTTTTTGTATTGGCAGTACCAGGATGGCAGATTATCTCTATTACTTGGTTTGTTAATTTGGTTCGTACTATGTATGCAGTTATCTCTGTTATTATCAATTCTTCATGTTATAAGGTACTCTTTTATGTGTTAATACCATGATTCAAATCAGAACAGGAGGAGATGTTGTTATTAGACCTAACATAGTTAGAACTAACACAGTTCGTGTTAGAACTAACATGAACCGAGTTAGAATGAACTATGTTAGTTCTAACTCGGTTCATATTAGTTCTAGCATCTTTGAATACTTGTTTGGCAAAATTGAGCAGAAAACACACCCCATGTTAGTTCTAATGCAGGACCTCGACGCCATCTTCATAAACCACAATAGGTTCGCCTTCGACAAAAACAACAACATCGGGAAGCTGTTAAAAACTGGTTGTGAGCTGGGTAGTCTGGACTATTAGTTCTAAGGGCTGGAATGTTAGTTCTAAGGGCTGGAATGTTAGTTCTAAGGGCTGGACTGTTAGTTCTAAGGACTGGACTGTTAGTTCTACCAGCTTTTATGTTAGTTCTGTCATCTTCTACGTTAGTTCTACCCGCTTTCATGTTAGTTCTGTTATCTCCTATGTTAGTTCTGTTCGCTGCCACGTTAGTTCTGTTCGCTGTCATGTTAGTTCTACCAGCTTTTATATTAGTTCTGTCATCTCCTACGTTAGTTCTACCCGCTTTCATGTTAGTTTTGTTCGCTACAGAAAACTGTAGTTTTGTACCGACTTCGGACGCATTTTTCGATCATACCCAATCTCCGTTTCTGCCGATTTCTTCTTTGGTGAGTAGACCTACATGTTACCTATCACCTCTAATTTGTATCATACTCTAACTCATTCTCTATCTTTCTCGGTAACGTTCGAAACATCGCTCGATGGCAGTAATGACCAGTAAACAGCAGCGCCGTGCCGACTTCGCGTGCGTTTTTCGGCCACCTCCGGTCTCCGTTTTCACCACCGTCTTCGCCGATATGTAGCCCTTTATATTGTCTATCACACAGTATCTTCCTTTTACTTAGGCTTATTTTCTACCTCTTCGTTTGGGTTTTTTCTTCGCTGTTCGGAGTTTTTCGCTATTCGGGTTTGTTCTTCGTTGTTTGGAGCTTTTCGCCGCTGTCCGAGCTTGCCAGAGGTGGGAGGAGGTTGCCGAGTGATAGACAATATAAAGGGCTACATATCGCTAAAGACGGTGGTAAAAACGGAGACCGGAGGTGGCCGAAAAACGCGCGCGAAGTCGGCACGGTGCTGCTGTTTTCTGCTCTTTGCTGCTGTCGAGTGATATTGGAGTTTATGAAGAGAGCCAGGTCCCTCAGGAGGCCGAGCTCATCTTGTGTGGGTTTTCAAATTTTTTATAAATTCCATCTAGAAAAATCTCTCAATTGCTCTTTTACTTCGTGTCCTTGTTTATTTAAGTTGTGTCTTGTAATTTTCTATTTAAAAGTCTCATGTTGAGCATATTCTGCTCATATCTTGTTTATTTAAGTTGTGTCTTG